ATATAGGGAAAATCAATGACCCCCCTGGTGCAGGCCAGTTTTGACCCAGGGCTTTTATTTGAACAAACTTTGTAGACACTCACTAGAAGATGTTTCATGCTAAAAATCTTAGCTCTAGCTCTTTGGGTTCTTTAAAAGAAGATTTTTTAAGTTTTTACTATATGCATATAGGGAAAATCAATGACCCCCCTGGGGCAGGGCCAATTTTGACCCAGGGCTTTTATTTGAACAAACTTGGTAGACACTCATTAGAAAATGTTTCATGCCAAATATCTAAGCTCTAGCTCTTTTGGTTCTTTAAAAGAAGATTTTTTAAGTTGTAACTATATGCATATAGGGAAAATCAATGACCCCCTGGGGCGGGGCCAATTTTGACCCTAGGACTTTTATTTGAACAAACTTGGTAGACACTCATTAGAAGATGTTTCATGCCAAATATCTAAGCTCTAGCTCTTTGGGTTCTTTAAAAGAAGATGTTTAAAGTTTTTTTCTTTCGGTTGCCATGGGAACCAGAGTTCTGCATGGAATTAAATTCTTTGAACAATTTTTAAAGGTGACCACCAAAGGAACATTCCTGTGAAGTTTGGATGAAATTGGCTTGGTGGTTTATGAGTGATGTCATTTGAAGCAAAAGTTTACGGACGGACGACGGACGGACGCCGGACGAAAAGCGATCACAAAAGCTCACCCTGTCACTTTGTGACAGGTGAGCTTAAAACACATGACAGTCTATCGGAGAGTGAGTGGTAGTACTTCCATGTTGAAGCTGTCTATTGTTGTACAGCTTACAATTGTCTGGGGAAGACTTTCCAGAGGCGGATGGTGTCTGGAAAGAAGGATCGCTGGTAGCACTGGGTTCTTGCAAATGTTACCAGGTAGTGAAGTCCATGCCCTCGAGCAGAGATGATTGGGGTGAGGTTGGATGCAGGGACTTCAACTAGGCCGTTTACTAGGTCACCTTGGCATGGGCTTTGCGTTCTCGGAGGGTAGACCACTGTTAGTGTTGCAGCATCGGCGTCACACTGCTGGTTCTTCTGTAGTCTGAGAAGACCATTCTTGCCGCTCGACGTTGCACCATTTCCAGTTTTCAGATATTTGCCTCAGCGGATTGTTCCCAGATGATAGAGGAGTATTCCACCAGAGGTCTCACGCGGGTCATATAGCAGAGCTCTTTGGTTCTTCTTGGGCATTGATGGATGTTTCTCTGTAGAAAGGATGTGACATTGTTGGCTTTCTTTGTAATGAGGTCAATGTGATGATTCCAGTTTAGTGTCTTTTGGAAGTTGAGGCCTAAATATTTTGCTGTATCTACTTCTTCTAAGGTGTGTCCATGGATGTTTTATGGTAATCTGATTGATTTCTCTTGTTTGTTATGTGGAGTATCTGGCATTTTTGAGGGTGTAATTCCATCAACCAATCCTTTTCCCACCTTTGTAGTCCATCTAGGTCTTGCTGTAGGGCTTAGGCATCTTGGTCTGAGTGGATAGAGCGGTATAGGGCACAGTCGTCGGCAAACATTCTAGTAGTGGATTCAGGTGATACATAGTTGGGTAGATCATTTATGAGGACGAGAAATAAGAGGGCCTAGAGCACTGCTTGTGGAACATCGGACTGAACAGGTGCTTCAGCAGATTTGCTGCCATCTAGTAACACTCTCTGATCCCCTAGGAAGCTGTTTATTCACTTCAATAGGTTTCGTATACCATAGAATTGAAATTTTGTGAGTAATTGGTGGTGTGGACCCTTGTCGAAAGCTTTGGAGAAATCTAATAAAATGACATAAGTCTGACCAGCAGAGTCTGCATTGCGGGCGAGGTCCTTGACTGTCTGTACGAGTTGAGTCTCACATGATCTGCGTTTTCGAAATTCATGCTAGCATCTGTAAGTATGTTGTGCGTGACAAGGTTTCTCATAATGGAGCTTGTGATGATGTCCTTAAGTGCTTTTACATGCTATGGAAGTAAGAGAAACAGGTCTAGTTCTCTGCTTTACTGCGGTCGCCCTTCTATAAAATTTGTACCACGTTCGCAGTTTTCCAGTCGTCAGGTATGATTCCTTGGTCCACAGATGCCTGGAAGAACAGTGTAAATACAAGAGTAAGTTCTGTAACTGTTTCCTTTAGTAGTCTTGCTGGAAGTTGATCTGAACCAGTAGCCTTGTGTGGATTAAGTCCTGCAAGGATCTTCTGTACTCCGCTCTCTGTGACTGTAATATGTTCAACCGGGTTCCGTATCAGGAATGGTTGAGATGTCTTCATCCTTGTTGAAAACTGAAGAAAACTGCTCATTCAGAAAACTGACCTTTGTGTCGCTGTTGGAGTGAGTCATGCCTGCTTTTGCTTTCAGTTTTTCAACACCCTGACTGTCTGTTTTCTTGCTTTTAAAGAAAGCTGTAGAACTTGTACTGTTGACATACTCATTGTAGGCCTCTTGACATGCCAGTCTACATTTTTTCTCGAGGTCCTCATATCGTTTCATGCTTTGATGAGACTTGGTGGATTTTGCCCGGGCGTATGCTCCCTTTGTCCTTCAACTCAACTGTTTGATGTCTTTCTTTATCCACGGCTTGCTAAATCTACAGCCGCTCATCTTGGATGGCACGCAGGAGTCCAGGACTTTCAGGAGATAGTATTTTATATCTCCCCACATAAGGTGAATATGGCTAATTATGGTGTAAGTTTCTTTAAAGTGTTGTTAAAATTGGTGACATTTGCTTCTCAGTTGGTCTATATCTGCATTCTCCCATGGGTGAATTTATAAGTCTTTTCACTGGTTTAGATCTTTTAGCCTATGCACTGGATTCAATGAAGACTATTTCATGGTCACCTAGTCCTGGCAGAGTTGTACTTCGTGTTGTAAGAGTTGGACAATTTGTGAATGTTGTGTTTTTTTGTTGGTTGAGTGACCATCTGGTGAAGATTGCAGGATTCAACAACTTCAAGAATGTTTTTGTTGATCCTGTTGGAATTCTGGTTACCTTCTACCGTGTTGATGGTCCAGTTAATGTCAGGTAGGTTTAGGTGTCTACCTATCCATATTACTGCATTTTTGTAACAATTCTTTATGTTTTCTATTGTGGAACGTAAATCCTCAGGATATGTTTCATCACTGTTGAATGGTATGAAGATGGAACCAATGATGAGAGTTTTGTTTTTATCAAGTGACTTTAGCAAACACTTGCTGCGTGTTTGGTCCTGTGTCCAGCTTTTCATAGATAAGGTCGTTCTTCAAACCAAGGACACCGCCGTGCCCACCTTTCCTGCCTTTTCTGAGAATGTCATAGTTTGGTGGGAATATTTCTGAAGAGTGCATGTTAGGATTCATCCAAGTTTCAGATCCCATGATGATAATGGGATCAGCTGACTCTAAGAGGTTGCAGATTTCGGCTTTCTTGTTCTTGCAGCTTTGGAAGTTGATTACCAGTGTTCTCAAACTCCGAAATGACAGAGTTGATTTTTTCTTATGTGAAGATTTAGGAGAAGAACAGAAAGAAAGGGGGTATATAATGTATATTAAACTATAGTACTGCATTAGGTTTTGGATATAAACTAAGGGTTTTATTTTTGTGAAAATCATGTTTAGTATCACATGTGTCGCCAGGTGATAGCCAACTAAGTAGTTGTATACAGGGGTGATTGGATAGGGTTTTTTTTACCTTGTGATCGCAGCTACTTAGTAGCATATTGCAAGTTATAAGTAGCAGGCGAAACAAATATCATTAAAAGATCAAAACACCTTTTCTATTTTAAGGCCATAACTCATAAGTAACAAGCAAATTCGTTGAATTTATATCTCCCGCCGAGTACTGGTTATTATTAACAAAACAACTGAAGACATAAGGCTTTATTTATATACATGTATTAATCATGGCATAAACAGTAATATTCTTTGAACTTGATAAATATTCAGGGCAATAACAGAGACATAACTATGTGTTAAATAGTAAAATCTGTAAATGCCAATGAGATGTATGCATACTACATAACTAATCAAGGGCCATAAATCTGAGTTATAAGTATCTGACTGGAACAAGGCGACTATATGCACATCTCCTCTTAGTATCCAATAAAGTTTCATTGAATTCCAGCCATTAGTAGCAGAGAAGTAGCGAGGAAACAAATATTTTTCTATATGGATACTTCATAACTAATCAAGGGCCAAAACTCTGAATTAAAGTGTCTGACCGGAACAAGCCGACGATATGCGCATCTCCTCTTGGTATTGAAAGTTCCCATAAAATTTCGTTGAATTCCAGCCAGTGGTTGCAAAGAAGTAGTGCGGAAACGATTTTTACTCTATATGCATATTACATAACTAATCAAGGGCCATAACTATGAGTTAAAGGGTCTGACCGGAACAAGCCGACGATATGCGCATCTCTTCTTGATATTGATGATTCCAATAAAGTTTCGTTGAATTCCAGCCAGTAGTTGAAGAGAAGTAGTGCGGAAACGATTTTTACTCCATATGCATATTGCATAACTAATCAAGGGCCATAACTCTGAGTAAAAGTGTCTGACCGGAACAAGCCGACGATATGCGCATCTCCTCTTGATATTGATGATTTCCCTAAAGTTTCGTTGAATTCCAGCCAGTAGTTGCAGAGAACTACTCCAGAAACGATTTTTACTCTACATGCATACTACATAACTAATAAAGGGCCATAACTCTGAGTTAAAGGGTCGGACCGGAACAAGCCGACGATATGCGCATCTCCTCTTGATATTGATGATTCCCATAAAGTTTCGTTGAATTCCAGCCAGTAGTTGCAGAGAACTACTCCGGAATCGAAATTCGGACGGACGGATGGACGGACGGACGGAAGGACGGACAACGCCAAAACTATATCCCCCTCCCGATTCCATCGGCGGGGGATAATAAAATCATTCAACAGGAAATCTCGTTAAATATGCACAAGGACTAAGGTACCGAACCGCTAAACACCAAAATATGGTTAAAAATCCCTGTAACAATTATACATGTATCAGAACAAAAGACAACTCCCATGTGTACTACATTTATTACACACTTTGGAACAAAAAAAGTAATATTTCTATCAGAATATCTTAAGATTTTGAAACAATATTTTCATATCATAAGCATATTCTTACAACAACAAAAAATCCAAATACTGTATGTGTAGAAATATTCGCGGGATTCAATTGTTCGCGATCTTCGCGGTGACATTCGATCCGCGAATTCATGTTAAGAGCGAATATTTCTACACCAATAATTTCTTCATAGTCATATATTCGCGCTCCTATATAAAATGTATATAAGTGTGTGACTTTTTATTTAAATGTTTACTGAGTAATTGTGTTTTGTTTTCCAAGTTATTCATCATTTAAAATCGTTTATGTTTGTGTTTTTTTGTATTGTTTGTTCAGAAAAAACAAAACATGATCTGATCAGATGTCAAGACACAAACTGTGAAAAATTATGCACGTTAACGGACATTCTTTTGTTTGCTATAGTCTGTCCGCAGGACAATGTCTTTTTCAGTACAATAGCGTATTGTTTGACACCTGGTATTGAAAATAACTGTGAACTCCCACGATGATTACAGTAATTTTCCTTATTTTTTTAACCTGAGTGGTCTACGCGAATTTATGATTTTCGGCAGTCACCTCCGCGAATTCAAAATAGCGCGAATATTTGTATAGACCCCAAAAAGTGGACCTTTCCGCGAAAATTTGCTTCCGCGAATTTAAATACACATACAGTATTTATGTTATTCAATAAAAAATCAATTGACAATTTTCTCATTTAAAAGGTATTGTCTTCTTTAAAACTGGTAAAAATTAGGCATTGATATTTTTGTGTTGATTCAACTAGAATGGAGCCACTAGGCCGCCTCAACACTCATACAGCATGCCCCAATTTTATGTTAGTCCAGATGCTCAATTTTGTCATTTTGATATTGAAAAATCTCGATAACAATCTTATTATAATATAAATAAACTGTCCAAATTTCAAAACATTACAAATCTGCGGTATAAATTATGCAATAATAAGCAGATAAGCACAACAAAAAAAATACCCATATTCATGTAAAGAAATACTTACATTAATCTGAACATATATAGCAAAACATTCATACAAAATTAACTTAATACTACACAAGCTAATAAAAGTTACAATTATTATTAATAAACTAGAAATGTGTCCATAGGACACGGATGCCCCCACACGCCACTGTTTTGTCAATCTTATGAGTCTAGGTCAAATATTTTTTGGACTACATGTGCCACAAGTTGAAAACTAAAAATCAACAAAGGGCCATAATTCTGTTAAATTTGGTCGCAGAAAAAAATCCTTCCTTTACTACCATCTACACATTAAGGTTGTTCATCCCTGGAAGTTTAAGCAAAATCTGCCATCCGTTTTAAGAGGAGTTGCGTTTACAAAATTTCTACATAGTATATAGTGAAAAAATCAACAAAGGGCCATAATTATGTTTAATTTGGTCGCAGCAAAAATTCCTTCCTTTACTACCATCTACACATTAAGGTTGTTCATCCCTGTAAGTTTAAGCAAAATCTGCCATCCGGTTTAAGAGGAGTTGCATTCACAAAATTTCTACATAGCATATAGTGAAAAAATCAACAAAGGGCCATAATTCTATTAATTTTGGTCGTAGCAAAAATTCCTCCCTTTACTACCATCTACACATTAAGGTTGTTCATCCCTAGAAGTTTAAGCAAAATCTGTCATCCGGTTTAAGAGGAGTTGCATTCACAAAATTTCTACATAGCATATAGTGAAAACATCAACAAAGGGCCATAATTCTGTTATATTTGGTCGCAGCAAAAATTCCTTCCTTTACTACCATCTACACATTTAAGGTTGTTCATCAGCAAAATCTGCCATCCGGTTTAGGAGGAGTTGCGTTCACAAAATTTCTATATAGTATATAGTGAAAAAATCAACAAAGGGCCATAATTCTGTTAAATTTGATTGCACCGAAAATTCCTCCCTTTACTGCCATCTACACATTAACGTTGTTCATCCCTGGAAGTTTAAGCAAAATCTGCCATCCGGTTTAAGAGGAGTTGCATTAACAAAATTTCTACATAGCATATAGTGAAAAAATCAACAAAGGGCCATGATTCTATTAATTTTGGTCGTAGCAAAAATTCCTCCCTTAACTACCATCTACACATTAAGGTTGTTCATCCCTGGAAGTTTAAGCAAAATCTGTCATCCGGTTTAAAAGGAGTTGCATTCACAAAATTTCTAATTAGCATATAGTGAAAAAATCAACAAAGGGCCATAATTCTGTTATATTTGGTCGCAGCAAAAATTCCTTCCTTTACTACTATCTACACATTAAGGTTGTTCATCCCTGGAAGTTTAAGCAAAATCTGCCATCCGGTTTAATAGGAGTTGCGTTCACAAGATTTCGGGACGTACGGACAGACGGACGGACGGACACTCGGACGGACAAGTGCAACGCTATATGCCCCCACTCTGTGGGGGCATAAAAATAATTAAATTAAATACAACTGGGGTCAAAAATGATAAACAGAGTTACCAATGTCCCCCACCTCGGGGAAGTTTTATATGAAGCATAAAATTGTGCTATTTCAAAAGATTGAGGTATGGATCTAAAGAACTTTCAGTCCAAAATTATGATAAATGATATCTGCAAATGCTACAGAAATAAAATGAAACATTGAATTTAAAAATCTATCATGTTAAGCTTTGGCCTCTAGGTGTGACCTTGACCTTGGAGAAAGGGGTGCCGTGTTGTGCATGACACATCGTCTTATTATTATCACTATTTGTACCAATTTTTTCAAAATCCCTTGACTATCAAGAACTTAAAGATGGGACACAAAATATACCCTCCAACAGACTATGTTAATCTTTGACCTCTAAGTGTGACCTTGGAGGTAGGGACCCATTTTTTGCGCCTGACGTATCGTCTTATTATTGTGATTATTTCTGCAAAGTATTTTTGAAATTCCCTTTATCTATGAAAAAGTTATGTACTGTACACAAAAATACCCTCTAACAGACTATGTAAATCTTTGACCTCTACATGTGACCTTGACCTTGGAGGTAGGGACACTATTGTTGCGCATGACATATCATCTTATCATTGTGACTATTTGTGGCAAGTATTTTCCAAATCCCTTGATCTATGAAGAAGTTATGGAGGAGGACAAAAAATATACCATATAACAGGCTCTGTCAACTTTTGACCTCTAAGTGTGGCCTTGACCTTGGAGGTAGGGGTGCAGGTGTTGTACTTGACATATCGTCTTATTATTCTGACTATTTGTGACAAGTTATTTCAAAATCCCTTGAACTATGAAGAAGTTCTAGATCGGACACAATATATACCCTTTAACAGACTATGTTAATTTTTTACCTCGAAATGTGACCTTGACCTTGGAGGTAGTGATGCAGGTGTTGCACATGACACATGGTCTTATTTTAGTGACTATTTGTTCTAAGTTATTTTCAAAATCCTTTGATATAAGAAAAAGTTATGGACTAGACACAAAATATACCCTATAACAGACTATGACTATTTATCTTTGACCTCAAAGTGTTACCTTGACCTTGGAGGTAGGTGACCGTTTAGTGCGCATGACACATCTCTTTATTGTAAGCAACTGCGGCAAGTATTTACAAAATCCCTTCCAAGATAAAAAAGTTATGGACCGGACACATCATATACCCTCAAATAGATAATGTTGACCTTGAATGAGCAAGTGCCACCTTGACCCTGCAGGTAGGGGTCTGGTTGTTGCACATGACACATCGTCTTATTATAACAAACATTTGTGCCAAGTTATTTCAGATTCCTTTCATAAATGACAAAGTTATGGACCGGACACAAAAGTGTGACGGACGGAGTCAGACAGACGGAGCCTATTTCTATATGAAAAGGCGGGGGACAATTATAAATGTATAGGCACACATAGCTATCTTATTTTAAATAAACAAACTAAATAAAATTTATGAATTCTGATCATTAAAAACATGATACAGAACCCTTAGGTATATTTGTTTTTTGTATTGAACCTTGAATATAATTCACAGCACTACAATTTATAGACATGGGTGCAAGTTCAAAATGTTCAAAAACCCGAGGACCTTTAATTAAACATAATTTTAATTGGTTTTTATATACACTTCACTCATATAAGAAAGAATTCCGGATAAGAATGGTTCGAATTAGCAAGGCTCCACTGTAGTAAAAGATGGGGTATAAAAAAACTTACTCTTTCGGCAAATGCATAAAAACGTGTTCTAAGTATAGATTTATATAATACCAAACCGAATATTTATTTAACCTTTAGGATAATAAAAACCAATAAAGTCAAACCTGCCTTTAAGAAGAACACCATAATCGGAAAGACCTATATATTACATGAGATTTAATACAAATATTCTTAAGATTAAGTACAAGTTTATAAATAAACTTCTGTTGTTTATATAATACATGTATAAAACTATTTCATAATTACAAAAATCAATATTTTTCAACTTAACCTAGATCATTTGGAGTTTGTTAACACGTTGCCTGGTCTTCACGGACAAATTTGACTGTATCATGTGTAAGCACTAGTTAACAAAAATCTATTTACAAATAAACATTATATACATTTAAACTTGTCACTTTTCATTATTACAGCTTATTAGAAAGTATTCAACAACCAAGATATGTTTCACTTTTCCCTGTTATTTGCTCATCGACAACAATTATCAATATTTGTACTTTTTTTATAATGTTCTCTTTGTCTTTACAGCTTTTATGACACAAATGCTAGCACTTCTATAATATAACAGATATCAATCTGACCAACATGTTGATAGTTCAGGTAAAATTTGTATTTAATAATTAAACTGTGGTTCAAAATAATGTACATGTAGTTGGTGAACTAATAAACCTGTTGATAGTTCAGGTAAAATTTGTATTAAAAAATTATACTGAAGTTCAAAATAATGTACATGTAGTTGGTGAACTAATAAACCTGTTAATAGTTCAGGTAAAATTTCTATTATTATAAATAATTATACTGTGGTTCATTATAATGTACATGTAGTTGGTGAACTAATAAACTGGTTGATTAAGTTCAGGTAAAAATTTAATTAATTATAACCAGGTTTCTTTAAAAACATCATTATTGTGTCGTTAGTGAAGCAATAATATTAACTAGTCGCTAGTTTGGCTCAATACTCACTACTACATGTATATCAAATAGATATACATGTATAAGCTTTACAAAAAACAACAGCCTGTGTCATTCCATGTCAACCCATGAAAGACCATGTAAGACAATATCAGCTCATGTAAGACCAAATAAGCCTATGTAAGACCAAATCAGCATATTTAAGGCCATGTAAGACCTTGTAAGACCATGAAGGCTGGCCTGGCTCTATACTGATGATAAGGTTAATCACTCTTGTCTCCAACAGGGTAAGTAATGATTAATGATGCAATAACTAACAAACAATTTACAACAATATGCAATATATGACATTTAGGAGAAAATCTATTTTTCTTTCACAGAATTTTATACATATTTACAATACATGTCAAAAGAATAAAAATCATAAATATTCTATATCAGCATTATGGATTGGAAATGGCAAAAAGGATAGCTAAAAATCAACTCAAATTTGTTGCCAAAAATATTTGTCCCATATTTACAAAAACAAAAAATGATATACCCAAACACATGCTTAACTCTTTACTAAATGCTAATCTGCTTAATGTCTTTAATGCCATTTCATGTGAAAAGCACATGTAATATTTCCATGAGGATGAAATACAATGTACAGTGAGAGAATCAAATATACAATACATATATATATATATATATATAATAATTATGTATCTTACTCAGCATAATCTTAAATTTAGCATTATAGATATACAGTGTTCACAATTCAGTTGATGATGTGCGTTTATTTATATCACTTCAAACACAAATACACATTCACAGTTTATTTCAGTTGGTCTAGTGCAGATGTAAAGAATAGGTATGGATTCATTATAACATGCCAAATTAAATCATTTGACCCCTTTTTTCTTTAATGTCGAAACGAAATACATGATAAAAAAGGAGCATAATGAAAAACGAAATTATTCAAAATTAACAATTACAAAGTGCACTGAAACAAGACTGCCATATACAAATTTATCAGAATACTTTAAGAATAACAACATAAAATTTGATGCAAGTCATATATCCTTTTTATATTTATAATACAATTTCTAGCATTACATACAGATCAGATTAAAGGGACTTCACTGAGGTTTTTTGACATGATGAGACTAAAAATATTTTTCCAGATAAATGTACAATTTGATGTAGGTTGAGACCACTAATCTTTGTGCAAAATTCAGATCATTCGCACACTTCGTTTTTCCACAATAATTATTCAAATTGTAAAAAAATGACCCAAAATGAAAAGCGTTTAAATACTTTTCACTCAAATCAGGCTAAGAAAAGCATAAAAATACGATTTTCAATTTATTTCAAAGTATATTTCTTAACTATCTTTGCATATATTTCTGTTTAAAGTACCCCAGCTCATTTATGTAAGAAATTCAAATGTTATGTTTTTAGGCTTTTAAACCTCAGTGGAGGCCCTTTAAGTCTAGAATTATTGAATATTATATAGGAAGTAAGTACAGTCCTAACCAGCACCAACCTCTAACCTCTACAATCTCATAATTTATTATCTTCACAATTATAGTCGTAATTTTTTATTCGAATTTTACCAACAAGTGATATACTGTCTGTGATATACTTTATATGTGATATATAACATATCTTGCTGATATCGATATTTCTCATACAAATATATCCCACCCAGATATCCTTTTATCACATAAACTACGGTGCAGTAGTGTAATAAAGCCATTCAATAAAAGCAATATTACACTAATAACACTTTGACGTGACATCATTTGCGTTATACAGTATGCAAACATAGCGTTAAAGCATGCTAATGTTAGCGTTACACTATAGGCGCGTCAATAAACTGTTCTTTAATTTGAATATGTGATAAACATACATTATATTCAAGGAGACTCTATACTAAATTTATTGAACTTGTTGAATAGAGAATATTTTTTTTTTTTTTTGTTCAACATGTTCAACAAATTTAGTATTAAACCTACACTCATTCAATACCCTCTATATATCTCAAGGATATTCTTATATCTCATAAATATCATATCTCATACAAAGAGCATCATATCTCAAAAAGATGTCATTATTTCTCAAAGATGTCATTATATCATCATATCTCAAATAGTTAGAAATTCTAAAATATAGAATACAATGAGATTTTTACATATTGAATCATATGATAAACACTTTCTCTAAATGCTGTAATAGTAATCTTGAAGGGCGAAATATACAAAATCACAATATGATACAACATAAAAATCTAACAATACTAAAACTGATGGAGGCACCCCACTCCCTTGCATCATTGCTAAAAAAAAAGCTTACCGAAAGAAAAATTTGGAAATATCTATTTTTAGCCTCAGTGACCATAAACCAATCAACATGAAACCACACCTTATGATGAAAGTACCATAAATGACACAGACACAACAAATATCTATTGTATCAGATAATGTTTATAAAAGTGCTTTGATGCATAGTAATGACATGTGAAAATAGGATGGTACATGTAGGGCAAAGCAAAGGTTTCAGGGAAGATGATAGATATTTAACATACCCACAAAATATATGCTTCACTACAAACAAGCACCTATCACACATAGGAAAACTGCCTGTAAAGTCTATGTAATATTAGAAAGACTACAAAGTTTATATGGAAAGTATGATAATCCCTTTCTTGCAACTGGTTTTTATCCCTTTAGTCAGAGATAGCAGATGTATCTAGGGTTCAACAAATCATTTGTCAATACACATTACTTATCATAATTGAAATAATAAGGTATAGCTCGGATTATAGATATGGATTTAAAAGAAACTAGAACTATCACTAAATGTGATTAATACCCCCACAAAACTGCTTCAGAAATGAGGATGTTACTAGTAACAGAATACCTTGTAAAAGAATTGAAATATAGAGTTATGGTTGTGGGCAATTGAAGATAGATGTGGTTCTTGTATGTTGCATTTCCTTTCAATGTGGTTGGCCATTGATGATGTATTACTGAATTACTCTGTAGTAAGTCCAGAAAGACAAGGAAAGAAACAAAGGGCAATAACTCTATAAATACTGAAGATGGAGTTATAGTTCTTGTGCACTGCACTTCCTCTTATTGTGTTTGACCATTGTATGAAGTTGTTTTGAATTCCAACCAGTACGTTTTAAGTTGTGCTCCGGACAAGGAAAAGTATCAAAGGGCAGTAACTCTGTATTTTGTCAAAATGGAGTTATGGCTCTTGTGCACTGCACTTCCTTTTAATGTCCTTGACAACTGTATGAAGCTGTATTTAATTTCAAACAGTAGTTTTCGAATTATGCTCTGGACAAGGAAAAGTAACAAAGGGCAGTAACTCGGTAATAAGTCAAGATGGAGTTATGGTTCATGTGCACTGCACTTCCTCTCAATGTGCTTGACCATTGTATTAAGTTATAATGAATTCCAACAATTAGTCTTCAAGTTATGGTCTGGACAAAAGAAAGCAATGGAAAAGTAACAAAGGGCAATAACTCTGTACTTACTTTAGATAGAGTTATGGTTCTTGTGCACTGCACTTCCCCTTATTGTGTTTGACAATTGTATGAAGGTATTTTGAATTCCAACCAGTAGTTTTCAAGTTATGCCCCGGACACAGAAAAGTAATAAAGGGCAATAACTCTGTAATAAGTCAAGATGGAGTTATGGTTCTTGTGCACTGCATTCCCTCTCAATGTGCTTGACCATTGTATTAAGTTATAATGAATTCCGACAATTAGTCTTCAAGTTATGGTCCGGACAAAAGAAAGGAATGGAAAAGTAACAAAGGGCAATAACTCTGTAATTACTTTAGATAGAGTTATGGTTCTTGTGCACTGCACTTCCCCTTAATGTGTTTGACAATTGTATGAAGTTGTTTTAAATTCAATCTAGTAGTTTTCAAGTTATGCCCTGGACAAGGAAAAGAAACAAAGGGCAATAACTCTGTAATTAGTCAAGATAGAGTTATGGTTCTTGTGCACTGCACTTCCTCTCAATGTGCTTGACCATTGTATGTAGTTATATTGAATTCCAACCATTAGTCTTCAAGTTATGGTCCGGACAAAAGAAAGGAATGGAAAAGTAACAAAGGGCAATAACTCTGTAATTACTTTAGATAGAGTTATGGTTCTTGTGCACTGCACTTTCCCTTATTGTGTTTGACAATTGTATGAAGTTGTTTTGAATTCCAACCAGTAGTTTTCAAGTTATGCCCCGGACACAGAAAAGTAATAAAGGGCAATAACTCTGTAATAAGTCAAGATGGAGTTATGGTTCTTGTGCACTGCACTTCCTCTCAATGTGCTTGACCATTGTATGTAGTTATATTGAATTCCAACCATTAGTCTTCAAGTTATGGTCCGGACAAAAGAAAGGAATGGAAAAGTAACAAAGGGCAATAACTCTGTAATTACTTTAGATAGAGTTATGGTTCTTGTGCACTGCACTTCCCCTTATTGTGTTTGACAATTGTATGAAGTTGTTTTGAATTCCAACCAGTAGTTTTCAAGTTATGCCCCGGACAAGGAAAAGTAACAAAGGGCAATAACTCTGTAATAAGTCAAGATAGAGTTATGGTTCTTGTGCACTGCACTTCCTCTCAATGTGCTTGACCATTGTGTGTAGTTATATTGAATTCCAATCATTAGTCTTCAAGTTATGCTCCGGACAAGGAAAGTGCAACGGACGTCTGGACCGACCGACCGACCAACCACCGGGTGACTCCTATATACCCCCCCAAACTTCGTTTTTGGGGGTATAATGAATAAATAGTTAGCAGACACACATTTGCCAAAACAAGCACAAAACATAAATTCATGACCATCCCCCAACTGTTTAATAATGGCACCATTAGTAACCAATTATTAATGTGCAAAGGCAGATAACTGGAGATATTGATTCCAATGTCATGTAACTTGACTAATTATTTCCTATTTGCTGGTAAATGAGTCTTTTATATTTGAAGCTCATTGGTACACTTTAATTTGTTTAAAACCAAATTAACTGCATGGTCAGAATTTTTTTTATAATATGTCTAATTATAAATTTAAGACCAGAAAATTTTCACTCGCTGTGTAATCAATTTTCTGCAGATTGGGCATTCATTAACATTCTGGGCACAGTCTTCACAAGTGGCAAGGTGACCACATGGTAAAAATGTCATACATAGTTCGTTATCCATACAGATTTTACATAACTTCATGTCCTTCAACTTTTCATTCTCTTGTAACACTGTCTCCACATCTGAAACAAAGATAAAATCATTTTATTAATCATAGTTAGAGAACTTAATAAGTATAGCTAGATACTTTATTATATTATACAAAGTAGATGATATCACAATCACAAGTATGTGGATATTTTATTTTTCATTTTTAAGGAAAAGACTTCAATAAGAATTAGGTTGCTTCCAGTCTAATCCTTTTTTTGTATTGTTTGTGAATGTTATGTATGTAAATATGTTCTCATGGGATGAACAAAATATGTTTAAACTAAGAGTTCAGGTTCTGTAACAAGAAAATAATTCAAATGATCATAATCCAGTCTTGATAGTATTGTAATATCTAACTCACTATACTGCTCCTTAAAATGGGTTAATTTTAACATTTTATTTGATGTAGCTTGAAATAATGAAATCATGTTAAACATAATGCCATAAAAACAAGTTAAAATAGGAAATATCTATTTAAAGCAGACAACAGATATTGCATTTACAACATAGAAACACTGATGAAAATATAAATTAAAATTCTTCAACTGTTACATTGACATGCCACTGGTCCTTTATATAACAAGTATGCCAGATGTCAATGCATCTAGTAGTCATTTAAAAGCAGACAAAATCTAACTTCTTTGCTTAAGATGCATGCCTCCAGATGAGCCAAAATAATCTATGAAAATCAAACATGAGAAAAGTGTACTAAGATTTTAAGAAAAGTAAAAAGAATCAAGTTTGAAGTAATTATTTACATATTTCATGTATGTACAATTAATGACCTATTTTGTAGTATTTTCCAACATATTTCTACTGCGTGACTAACGCAAAAGGGGATTTCTAACAGGTGAGTGAATACAAATACTTTTCAGTAAAAGTAGAAAAATAAAGCAGGAACAACCTGAATCAAATGACAATTCTAATATCAACACACATGACAATTCTGAGATCTATATAGTTGACAATACAAATGTCCCACAATTTTACAATTGATTGCCTATTGAACTTTTCAGGACATAATTTGATTTTATCATGCAGACATGAAATATAAAATGATTGAATAAAAAATAGAGACACAATACCTAGGTTACCTGTAGAACTGGATGCACTTGTTGAAGGTTTAACAGTTTTACTTGGTGATCTATTACTGTCATTAGATTTACTTTCTGCCTTTTGTTCCTAGTATAAATAAAACATCAAAATTTTAGCATACTGTATTTATTGCTAACATCGTTTAGTCATTAACTATGTAATATATTCTCTTTTACAGGATGCTTTACTTTCACTTAAACATGAACTAATTGTAAATATTTATTTATGTCAGAATACATTCCATCAAATCATAAACATAACAATTGATACCAAACTTCGAAGTTTTCAGTAACAATATCTTATGCATATAAAACAAGGGTGCCATAGTCACAAAATACGCCCGTTTACGAAAGCTTTAGATGGAGATGGGGGCATTATGGATAAGTGTTATCTAGCAAGCAAGTTTTTATTCTTGGCACTGTGTTGTTAAATGAACCTTAAAACAAATCAGTAGGGAAGATATGCACAGGATGTGTGACCTTGACCTTGGTGGCAGGGACCTAAATTTTATGCACGGCACTCAGCCTCACAATGATGAACATTTGTGCCAAATTGTATTGAAATCCCTCTATGCATGTAGAAGTTTTGCTCCAGACAAGCGTTTTTCTATGAGCTCTAACTGTGACCTTCACCTTTGACCTAGAGACTTGGTTCATGTGCAGGGCACTATGTCTCATGGTGGTGAACAATTCTATAAAGTAACATTAAAATTCCTCCATGCATGTAGAAAATATGCTCCGGACAACATCTGGATATTTAATCATCTCCAGTGACCTTGACCTTGCAAATATTAACCTAAATTAAATGTGTCACACCTGTAGTCATGATAGTTACCATTTGTGCTACAATCAATCAATAAATGATGACTAAATGGTCCCTATACACATCTTCAAATTTTTATCTGAACTTTGACCTCTATGTGTAACCTTGACTTTGGTCGCAGGGATCTGAATTTTGCGTGCGACACTCAGCCTCACAATGGTGAACATTTGTGCCAAGTTATATTGAAATCCCCCTATGAATGTAGAAGTTTTGCTCCGGACAAGCGTTTTTCAATGAGCTCTAAGTGTGACCTTGACCTTTGACCTGGAGACCTGGATCATGCATGGAGCAATACATATCATGGTGGTGAACATTTCCATAAAGTATTATAAAAATTCTTCCATACATGTAGGAGATATGCTCCAGACAAAATCTGGATATTTCACCATCTTTAGTGACCTTGACCTTGCATATATTGACCTAAAGTACATGTGTCACAGCCGTAGTCATGATAATGACCATTTGTGTTACAATCCCTCAATAAATGATGATTAAATCGTCCCTATACACATCTTCATATTTTTATCTGAACTTTGACCTCTATGTGTGACCTTGACCTTGGCTGCAGGGACCTGAATTTTGTGCGCGACACTTCGCCTCACAATGGTGAACATTTGTGCCAAGTTATATTGAAATCCCTCTATGCATGTGGAAGTTTTGCTCCGGACAAACGTTTTTCAATGAGCTCTAAGTGTGACCTTGACCTTTGACCTAGAGACCTAGTTCATGTGCGTGACATGGCTTCTCATAATGGTGAACATTTCTATGAAATTTCATTAAAATCCCTCCATGTGTGTAAGAGATATGCTCCGGACAAAATCTGGATATTTCATCATCTTTAGTGACCTTGACCTTGTATATATTGACCTAAATTATATGTATCACAGCCATAGTCTTGATAATGACCATTTGTGTTACAATCCCTCAATAAATGATGACTAAATGGTCCATATACACATCTTCATATTTTCATCTGAACTTTGACCTCTATGTGTGACCTTGACCTTGGCTGCAGGGACCTGAATTTTGTGCGCGACACTCCGCCTCACAATGGTGAACATTTGTGCCAAGTTATATTGAAATCCCTCTATGCATGTGGAAGTTTTGCTCCGGACAAACGTTTTTCAATGAGCTCTAAGTGTGACCTTGACCTTTGACCTAGAGACCTAGTTCATGTGTGTGACATGGCTTCTCATAATGGTGAACAATTCTATGAAATTTCATTAAAATCCCTCCATGTGTGTAGGAGATATGCTCCGGACAAAATCTGAATATTTCATCATCTTTAGTGACCTTGACCTTGTATATATTGACCTAAATTATATGTATCACAGCCATAGTCTTGATAATGACCATTTGTGTTACAATCCCTCAATAAATGATGACTAAATGGTCCCTATACACATCTTCATATTTTTATCTGAACTTTGACCTCTATGTGTGACCTTGACCTTGGCCCCAAGGACCTGAATCTTGTGCGCGACACTCCGCCTCACAATGGTGAACATTTGTGCCAAGTAATATTGAAATCCCTCTATACATGTGGAAGTTTTGCTCCGGACAAGCATTTTTCAATGAGCTCTAAGTGTGACCTTGACCTTTGACCTACAGACCTGGTTCATGTGCGCGACACTGCTCCTCATAGTGGTGAACATTTCTATGAAGTTTCATTAAAATCCCTCCATACATGTAGGAGATATGCTCCGGACAAAATTGGACGCCGCCCGCCCGCCCGCCAGGGGCGTTCCCATAATACGTCCCGTTTTTCAAACGGGCGTATAAAAACTCTTTAAATATAATATGGTGGAGTCAATGTTATGCAAGTTTTGCAACTCGGCACCAGAATCTAATATATTTTATTTTGGGAATGCTAAAAAATTCAACCATTTTGGTGTCAAATCAGGATTTTTTTACAAACAAAATATTATTCAGACAAAACTTTGGTATCATACGAAACTAATGTGGATGTTCAAAATAATATGAAATCAAACTGCATTAACTATATCTTACTCTAAGGTAAATATTTTATCTTTAAAAATAAATACCAGAAAACTATACCAAACTTCAGTGATTTTTTAAATTATCTTAGATATAAACTTAGTTTAGAAAGACTAATTGCTGAAATGAAAAATAAGGTCGATGTCTATAACAACAAGTGGAGCATATTCACATCATGAACACACGCTACTGACTGGAGTCTATTAAATATTATTTACACACTTACTATTAAACCCTTCCTTTTTGATAAATGAAAATTTATCTATAAATAATTAAAATAACATATATCATGCTCTAGATTACCTTTTCATTTTTACAATCTTTATTAGCATAATGATAAATCAGTTTTAATCTACTTATTCTTTATAAAAGTTGTTTTTTTTTCTGATGTAACCATTGTTTATTCTTGCAATTCAAAAAATCTGTAATATGCTTGTAAATTTGTATAATATATGCAATGTATTTATTTGTACAAACTGGATAATAAAAAATTTGAATAAAAAAAAAAAAAAAGAATACATTTTGCATGTCATACTGCACAGTCAAGGGGTATGTTCAAATATAATAGTGGGCCTCTGTGGTTGGGAAGTTAGTGTTGCTGACTTAAATCGCTCGCCCCTCGTTTATATGTGTTCAAATATAATCAGGGACTTAGGATTAATATATGCCAGGAAGCTTTCCAGCTAGCTTCGTTGGTTCTACACAGGACCCGCTTGTGTCTGAAATTACGCACAAAGGGGCACATCTTGTCTTCCTCCACCAGTTAAGGTGTTAATGTGACATAAAATCAAACAGTCAAACAAACACATATTATATAACTGTAATGACTTAGGTAGGTATACCTTTGCAGGTAGTGGTGTCTCTTCAACTTCCATTTCTTCATCTTCATCAGGTAGTGTAACAGGTGAGGCAGTCTCTTGTGTACCTGCCATATTATTTGATGCCTGTATAAGAGCTTCTCTCTCTCTCTTTGTCTGTTCTATAGCCTGCTTTATTCCACGAGCATCTATCAGTCTTCCTCGCCCTGAAAATATTTTTTTGTAAATTATGTCTTCTTTATAACCATAGTCATGAACATCTTTATCAAAATAATTTTCATTATCATCATCATCTCATTAATAAAATAATTTACATCATCACACTAATTCTCCTCCTCATCATCAATACCTTTCCATAAGACAGCATGCTCAAATATTCTCAGCAATCGACATTAAAAAAGTAGACATAGCCCTGTTAAAACGTAACTCAGAGTTATGGGACCTGTGCCCATTATGTAAGACAATCACAGAGACCATGTTGGTGAAGTTTCAACCAATTCATTAAAGAAGTTTTGGAGATACCAACTTCCATCCAGTGACCTTAATACAATCATCAAGAAACACTTTGGAAGAGTGAAGGTAGAGGAAAAAAACCAACAACATTACTAAAATTATCCAATGTATCTGTCAATAAATGAAGGTGCTAGAATAAAAGTTTGAGAGACAAACTGGCAAATTAATTCTCTGTCAATAAATTTTTAGCAGGATAAAAATGCAGTATTGGAAGAGATATATTGTAAACAACAAACATTCTATTCCATCGAACAAATATGCACTCTTTAGATTAAAACATTCTTTATCAAGAAGGTGCATCATACAATGTTATACTTCCACTTTAAGCAAATCTTTTCGACACAGTAATACAGAATTCACAATATTTTAGTGTTACTAAACTTGACTTATCAGATAATATCTACATAAAATTTCAAAGAGTTTAATACCAAATCTGCTAAAAGCTTCCCTGACTTGTTCTTGTGTATACCCTTCTTGTAAAACAGACAATACATGTGGAGATTTTAGCACTTCATCCACTGGTGGATCCACTGTCAGCCCATTCTAAAATTGTAAACACAGGTTTAAACATTATGATTTCTTTACATTAATTTTGAAAACAAGAGAAGTTTTTACTATGGATAAATATAGCTTTCCATTAAAATAATAACCAGTTCTAATAACATGAATGATTATAAACAATTTATTTAACATATTTTTCAATTAATGCATAGAAATATTTCATAAAGTTCTCAATACGGTGTCAGCTTTTTATATCTAAAAACTCACACATTTTTTAGACTTTCTCAGGCCAGAAATTAATTACCGATAACATGTTGCTTTTAATATTCTTGAAAGTCAAAGAATTACCTCAGCAGTTGTGATTTAGGTCCCATTTCTCTTTCATTAGAGGCCCTATCTCAGCCATAACAATTAAGTCATCTTTGGATTCACCCATGTGAGAATCAGGTTCTATCTACATGTATGTGACAAGATTGTTGCCTAATGCTCAGGTAGAACATGTATATTTTTGAAAAAGACCTTAGGGCTGACATAAGTGAAATATGAATCCTCTTTATTCCTTTATATCTGCCTTTATAAAAGATCACTTGATGCAATATGCTAATGCACAACACACCAAGCAAGCCTACCTGTCTATCTCTAACATACTGGATGTACGCATCACCCTTCACACCTCGGACAAAGCCACAGTGAGGGAACCATTTAGCATGTTCCTCCCAGGGTATATCCTGGGGCTCCCAGTCATAGAGTTCACCACCACACCAGAAACATTTACAACGGTCACCATTACCTGTTAGAATACAAAAATCAGCAACATGTGAATACTAGTACATGTTTTTATATATATTAGCATGAGAAAAATGCAACAGCCACTGTGGTGTAGTGGTTAGTATACTGGACGGGCAATCCAGAGATCCATGTTTAAGTCCCGGCTGCAGTGTGCCGCTTTTTCAAGTTATTTTCCTGTATATATATAAAAATTTATTTAACTTATCAATGTTTTGGCATATGCCTTTAATTGGATATAAATATTAAAACAAACAAGAGACATGACGTCATAATAGTTATGTAATGTTAAAATTGCTGAAAATCTTTTACATTACATTACTGTGACCTGTTAACATATGTGAAATTCCTACAACAATGCCATAATATTTGCATAATAAATCAATGATTTACAGTTATAAAACCTTCTTATGTGTAATTTTTGCATTTTGGTTTGGGTTTTATGACACACTTACACGGTAAAGGTTATATAATTATGGCAACTTTCCAGCATTGCTGGTGAGGTAAGAACTCATTCAGATGCCCCTTCTTGCATTTCTGGCCTGACCCTACACTGTTACATGTATATTATGAATCAGTATACTGTTAATACAGTCAAAGAATTTATGATTAAAAATAAATACACACGTCACACAAGCCATTCAGGGCAAGCGGAAGGCAATATCAACTAGTCTGATCAGGAACCAGAAAATGTTTTACAATGTATACAAACCAAAAAGTGTTTAACTTTGACAGACTAGTACATGTAAGTAAAATTAAAAATAATCATGTATCAGTTATTTTGTATTTCTATTTCCTGAATGGAGGGCCAAGGATAAATTAATTGTTCCATTTGAAATGATGAAATTGATAATGACAGAATGATGTTTTGAGCGTAAAAAGACTGCTCCATTTCTTTATATCACTTGAACATTTCCAAATTGAATACAATCCTTAAGGATATTTGGGCCACGTAGGTAATTGATTATTCACGCAATTTGTAACAATTGTGGCAAAATGTCAAAATATTTTTACTTTTACACCTACTTTAACATTTCGATGGGCATAATATCACTTTGATAAAATATTTTCAGTCATGTCTCTAAATATCCAATTTTTGAAGAAAAAATTATCAATATAATGGATGATTATCATATTAAATAATTATCATCATATTATCAAATGACTAAAAATATCAATTTCATTGTTATATGCTATTTTATGACATTATCATAAATGTACATGTATATGTACTGTATGAGCTCTTCTGTTCACATACATATTTTAGAAGGTGTGCAAATGTCAAACTCATCCCAAACAATAAATCACAATAAAGAACATGTTGTACTGTTTATTGTTTACCCAACCCATAATCAACAGCAATACTGCACGGCAGTTAAACTTTGTTTACATTTTATTCGTTACAAGTAATCTAATAAGGTTTAATCCCAGCTAGACTTTATCAATGAAATGAACTACGTAAATAAATGTGTCACATAGTTTAATGTCTTATTATTTCCCCTTTAAACTTAAAATATTTCCCCTTTAAAAATTTAAATGACCCGTTACAGTTTAATATAATACCACATTAGATATGCTTCATTATGTACCTAAAGTTTTTTATGCTATAGAAAAATATTTACATTGAATTTCAGTGTCATATGTATACATAGTCACGTAATAAATATAGATCTATATGAAATTTCGTGCTACAATTAATACAACAATAGTAATGGTAAGTCCATATTTATTGAACTGAAAATAAGTTAACTGTCAATGAATTCCTAGCATATTTTATGCAAAATGGACTTAAAGACTTAATTAATTTAATTCAGGGATACTAATGGCAGTGTAGATAAATTGTTATATGTCTGCAATTCAAAGATCAATAAAATAAACGTTATCTACACAAACACACAAACAATGTAACATATAATGGTGATATGCAGACTGACCTAATTATTGGAAATTTTCTGGCATGTAAACATTCTGAAACTATTCTCAGAAGTTTCCCATGTAAAAGTACATGTAAAAGTACACCAGTTACAGTTTCATTAATATCCTGCTAAAAAACCAAAAACACTCACATGGGGGAGTCACGCCTTACAACCTACTATAAAAACATGGTTTCTACACAGGTAATTAGTTACAAAAATAATAAAAAAAACCTGAACATCTTCTATTTTAATTAAAAAACGTAACAGTCACCTAAATTTCTGACCACATACCCCTTTGAAATACCCATTTATTCATTGAATATCATTCTTATCATTTGAATTTTGTACAATCATTGATTACATTCCATTTTATCATTCATATTCAAAATAAAATCAAAATTGTTATATATTACAGTGAATACTGAAAATATACATTTCTACATTTCCATTTTAAATACACAAAAAATTACTCGATTTATAAAATATACTGGGTATTCAAGTTTTGAAATAAACTTATGAGATTATGTACAGTTAATTATGGTAATTTTCACCAGTGTACCAATATAGAGACAGATCATGATGATGTTATCAGCCAGGGTTATTCCCTGTTTACATACCTGAAATGTACCTGTGTTTATTACCTTGAAAAATGAATCTGAATGTACAGAAAGATTAGATGGGAATGAAAAATAATACTTTCAACTGTCACAACTTACAACCAACTATGAAAAAAACACATACATATATCTAGTTTTCAGTTTTTCAATATAACAACGTTTATATTCAATTTTATTTCTTATCTGGCTTGCTATCAATAAAATTTATAAAATCACATGACAATGTCTACTTTTTAAATTATTTGTTTACTTAATACAACATATTTTTCCAACACTTTCCATCTAAAATACTTTTGACTCTGATATTTCCTATGAATATATACTTTCTACAGCTCAGACAATAACCTTGAAATGTAGAAATTCGCAAAGTTACTCATTTAGATACTGGTTTACCAAAAAGTTGTTAACAGCTTTAATTATAACATTACGTGTTAAATATTAAAATTGAGTATTTTTCCTTTAAAAAACAAAAACAAAAAAAAAAAACAGGAAAAAAATTCCCCCTAAATTATAATTGGTTTAACCGAGACCAATATCTAACCTTTATCTATAGTTAAGTTTAAAAACATCACAGAATACATTGAAGTATAAAACAATAAAACTAGTCTCTTTAACGACTGAGGGAGATAGGCCACATATACAATGTATTATGTTTTAATAAGTAGTCTGAGCCTTATGATTTGAATTGACATTTTAGCTTCATCACAGCAACACATTTTTGACAGTTGCAAAAATTCATTCTAAAAATAGGTCTTTTATTTTCTAAATACAAACAGAAAGAAAAACCACTCACAGATCTCCTTATCCCATCAAGAACATTAATAGATCTACATGTAGATAAATGAATTTTAATGACATTGTTGCAAATGAAATCAAAATAATTAAATACAATTCAGTAAACAAGTACTTATTTCAAAGTGGCCTAGAAGCATATGACAATTCAACGTCATGATATTCTGACTTAAATGGATCTAATACTTATTGTCTTATTGGCTATGATAAAAAAAAACTTCCCCTTTCAATCTCCATACTATAATTTATAAACATATTACAATCATTTATAATCATATACTATTATGTTAAGCTTTAGAAGAAATGCAAAGAAAGATAGTATTACGAAGTTATTGTAATTGTTAAAAAAACAATAGCATGAGAGATTCTGAGTATCGTTTTATTAAATTGAAAAGAAAACAATGACATATGATATCATTCATGATTGTATTATTTGATAAACAGCATCATATGACAGCTGGGTTTCCAAGGAATGAAATAACGTACAATATGCAAACGATCAACAAAGGAATGGAGAAAATTTATCAAAACATTTGGATGATTGACTCCATCTGACCTATATATTTTGATAGGTTCCCTTAATTAAGTTAAATGAATAATTTCCCTGATCATTATACAATACTTATGCTTCAGAATGAAATTTCATTTCCTTTCACTAACTGGCTTCAATAATTTCCGGATTTTACAATTGTATAGAAACTTAAACAAGGATTTTCCAAATGAACATAAAACTTTAATTTTGTTGGCATAAACGGGCACATGGACAAAAAAAAGGTTATAATTATCATGCCAATGTATTGATATAGAACTATTCAATATTGAATAGAAAGAATTTACAATGTAATATGACACCAGTTGTTATTGTTAAACACACAGTAAAAGAAAATACCCAGACATTTTTTCGCGATTAAGTTACATGTATTAGGTGAACTATATATTGTTAGATTTTATTAACCTGATTATACAGACAATGCACACAATGTATTAATCTTCGACAAATGTTCGGTAAATGTCTTGAAATGTAAGCAGTAAGATGTGATTAAATTTAATTTGTTTTGATGAAATAGTTATACTAAACAATAGCGCAATAGGGTAAACTACGGTTTACGATTTCTAAATGACATACGTTTTGTTAGATCAAGACTATGTAAAACTAAATCCATGTTGTTTTTTTTTATTTAGAACTACATTTTTTTTTAAACATAATTGAAACTATCATTGTTTTTTATGTTTTTTTTTTTTAATATATCTCGCACATATTTAAGTAAGTCTTTACACTTTTAAATAACATGGTTAAATAATTAAAATACATGTGCATTCGAATTAAACTCAGTAAATGTTATTTCAATGGTAACATAAAATACAATACAAAACAAGACAAATCAGGGTTTCTAAGTTGTTTCATATCCATGTAGACAATTTTCAAGCACTTTACCATTTTCATTAAAATAATTACTATAAAAATAAAGAAAGAATATGTCGAAAAACAATTGGCAAAAGCAAGGGATCGAACCACTGACCTCCCATACATTCTCTCATATATTAGGTAACTTCTTAACCCACTGTGCTATAGCAGTCATGACGATAACCCATGAATTTTTCAAATATTAGTTGTATACGTAATAGAAAGAGCATCGAAACACGAGGCTATCTGATTTGTAAGAGGGGGCATTGCCCCCGAGTATAAATCAGATTGCCGAGTGTTTTGATGTTCTTTCTCTTTTGTATCATAGTCAAAAATAAAAACACGTTCCCTGATGTCACAATATGAAACCCCAGAAAAAAGGAACCAATGAACGAGCATAGATCTGAATATGATATTTCTGTCACGTCACAATATGTAAACCCCAGACAAAATGAACCAATCAATGGGCATGCTCTGCAGTGCCGGTAACTAATACCTGCACTCAAGTTAACGCACTGTGCATGTATATGTATACGATTTAACTCCGACACATTTTCAACAGAAAGGTCCTAAAACTATGATACAATCAATATTAATTCTCTTAAACTATACGGACAGAGTTAAAGTGGTATCGAATTATTAAATGAGAGCTATAATGTATTCAAAAATTGACAGGTCAATAAAATCAGACTATATCATAAATGTTTTCTATACATGTATAAATAATTGTTTGAATAAGTGTAATATTGATAATGATTTTTTTTATCTCTTCCATTATTTTTTATTTATAAATTTCATGTAATCTGCCCTGAGTGTATCTATTAATAGTAAAAAAATAAGAAAAATGTTTTACATACCCATATATAAAAGTCCAGCTTTTGATAATTCAGTCGGTGTCTGAGACATCTGAGTCGGCCAACCCTTAAATGATCTAACTCTTTTATATTCATCACCCCAATCTCTGTACTTCGGTTCATTTGTTGTCACTGCCCCAGTACCAGGTTGTCCGCCCAAAGATGGTCTTGCTGGTAAACTAGCAAGATTTGACCCAAGGGAATTGAGTTCTCCGGGTCTACTATCGATTCTGTTCAAAAAAGAACCATGAGGTGATGGTAGATCCCCATGGTATGGGTTATTGTATGCACCTACAGGCACTTTTACTGTTGTGTTAAAAGACTGCGAATAAGAAGGACTTGATGATGCATTTTGTCTTTGTAAAGTTATTACTGATGAATGTAAAGGAATATTTCCACACTCGTAACCAAACGCAAACGGACATTCAGGGCAGTGTCTTTTATGCTCATTTTCAACAATATCCCCTACTTCCCAATTTGATAACACTCCGCGACAATACACACATTGCGCTCTATCACTTACATGCAGGTAAATAAAACCATTCCGTGCTAAATCTTCTTTACTGACAACCATATTTGACGGCCAGTCATCAAATGTTTCAAGTCGTTTTGCTTCTGATTTATAGCCATCATAAATGTTTGATATATCCGGAACTATGTCATTATTACTCTTTGTAAAAACAGACACATTTTGCCGACTTAAACTTGAGTGTCCGGTTACAAGTGGGTGCCTTTGAGAGTAACTATCTCCGATGTTGGCATGGTGAAGAGAAGTTGTGAAGTTTCCATGGGCGGGTCTAGATTCTGGAACAGGTACAGAGTCTTGTTCAAGGTCTGACAAATTATTTGGAATAATATCATACTGTCTTTCTCTGCTATTTGGCCCACTGTCTGACATGTTTTATTGTTGTTGGGGTTTTTGTTGCTGATATTTTTCTTAATTTTCATTCATCTAAAAATATAGAAATAAAATATAGAAACAGTCAAAGTGATATTTAGATTAACAGCAATGTGTTAATCTTAACTTATGCTTCAATCCCTTAAACTTTAAATGGACTCTCCCAAAATCAAAGCAGGGCAAAAACATTACGCTGTCACAATTTCAGTACGGGTATACTATTAAGTTTAAGTCACTTCACCTCTGTTATCATCATATACATATAATTATGGCAACAGTTTTAAAAGTTTTTCCATTGATATTTATGTATTTGACTCAAAATTTTGTATGAGGCAGCTAGCATCTGATTAACCAAACTATCAGTGTTTCTAAAAGAATAATAGTTAGCTAATTATTCCTTTTGAAACAGACCAAATAATAATCATACTTATATATTGAAAGTACATGTGCATGTATCTTGGTAAAAAGGGTCATAATTATATCTGCCAGTTTAAAAAACTAAGAATCAGCAAAAAATTAAGATTATGTTAATCAATTAAGATAATTCACACCAGTGTGTGAAAATGTCATACATGTACATACAGTATGTACATATACATGTACAAGAACCATTCTGTTAATATGGTGATGGTATAACTGATAAAAGTATCCAGAATTCTATCACAAAAGAACTCAATCAACAAACAAAACATTTAACCTCTGTAGTTTTCATTATATTTCACATGTTTAGCACATGAGCTACATGTACATGTAGATTTCCTTTCATGTGCAAGTTAACATAAAATCGTTGAAAAGCTATGAATTTTTATGATCATTTAAATGCCAATTGGCAGTTCCATAATGCTTTGCCGGGTATAATGTTATAATGGTATTCCCATATAAATTTCCTATTATTGATTTGCATTGTAACTCGAATAAACCTGCAACAGAATACAAATATGTTACTATTTATGTCCATAGATACATGTATAATTTAATTTAATGAACTTGTTTACAGTTTCAGTAATTAATTATGATCTTTTAGCAAAATTTTTAACTTTCCTAAGTGAATCTTCGTGTAAGTTTTTTTAGAATTTTTTTTTAAACATTCAGCAAGCAAATACTTCTATAATAATCTGTCCGATAGATTACTGGATAATATGCTCCATGAAACCAAATAACAATTTCACTCTAATGTTCTTTTTGTCATGAGTCTCACTTTTTTTTTTAGTTTATATAATGGCCTAACACTGGCTTTGTTTTTTAGCATATCAATGAAAAAAAACCCGAAAAGTATCAATTCATGAAAAAGACATTGAATATGCAAAAAGAATCATTCATAGGATGATAAAAAGGAAGTTTGGTGACTTCTATCTATCTATCTCTGGATACTGCCAACCCCTCTTACGAGTGTTAAAGGCAGGAATTTAGTGCACGTCGGATTGTTAGTAAAAGGTGAAGAGAAAAGCTAAAAAGAAAAGTCCAAACATTGACATGCTTGGAAGGTGAGACTGAAAATGTATTCTAGTCATGGTTAAAATGTTAATAGTGAAACAAGATGATAAGAGATAAAATAGTTTAAAAACACTGGGACTTTTTAGAAAAAAGTATTAGTAAATACTATTTACTGAGACAACGCAGGCAATATAAGACTGTGATTTCATAATTTTTAACCTAGAGACCTAAAAATTTGACACAGTTCAGCTAGGTTCTTCTCTTAACTAACAAACTAGTTTGTTTATTTCTGAATGTATTGACACTTATATCTGAGGCTCGACAAGGAGGGTATCAAAATTACCTAAATTGTCTACACCACAGTACCATGTGTCCGGACAGATATGTACATGGCGTGATTTAATTCAGATAAAAACTTGGGTGTTTTGATTTTTGATTTTTAACATGATAAACATTATTTCAGCAACAAATGCTGGAGTTTTGGATATTCTATTGTTTACTCTGCAAATGATTATAGCTGGCGTATGAGATCAGGCATTACTTTCTTGACGCCCAAATTTCAACCTCAACATTCTTGAAATAGACATTAAAATATTACCATTTACGGAGGTTAAAAGAAATTTATTTCCTAGATTATAGAAGAAACATGCATTTATTGTTGAAAAAAGTGACTGACAACCACTGAACAAAGAAAATACTAAATTAAGCATTTTCGGGGCCGTCCGGGTTTGGTGGTTGTCTGGTTTTGGTGGTCCTCAACCAGTACATGTATCTATCAGTCAAAATATTTATAAGACTAGGAACGTCATAATCAGTATTAAAAATATGAATTACTCAACATCTAAAATCAAGAATGATTCTGTTTGTAAAAACCAATCAAATCCGTCATTTTATTTATAATCTTTATAATTCTAAGCATAATTATACGGTATATCATTATTTGACATTGAGATGAATCGACATTAATCCGGGACGAATCGTCATTGGGCCGAATCGTTGCCTATATTATAATTTACGTAACTTATTCTGCATAATTTAAGCATATTATCATTTACATTAAATAAAGCTTAAAAGAAACAAAGAAAAAAGTATACAAACTTTACCTTCTGGTTGGAGTTTAACCCTAAAAAGGCTTCAAATACCACAAATTTCGAAATCAAGGTATTTCCAAGATCTAAAAATAGAACTATGGCCGTACTGCAGTATGGGTAATTACTAAACTTCTGACCGAGACACCGTATCTTTCTGGACAAAATATTAATGGCGGGATAACCAACTTTTGTCTTACAAAATATCTTACTGCTGGACATTGCAAAATTATTCCACTTGTTTTGAAACAATTTATCGTTAATCTAGCACAACACAATTCACAAAAATTTACATACTTCGAAGAAATAGTGTTTACAAAAGATCGTGTCTACCTCAACATTTTCATTTCCTTTCATTTTCCTTCCTTTGAAAATTGCTTCAGCCACAATTATCATAGAATAATCCACGTTCAAAAATTTATTGCGGGTTATAAGTATCAAGTATTTTTGAGTGTGAATGCACCATTCCAGTTGAAAAGCGCAGGAAAGTATGAACATATATAGTGCCCTTTATCATATTTGTATTTCCAAGTTCATATTAGGGATCATGCATTTGACAACCCGGACCGTAGAGGAAACGGCGGAAACTAAGAGTCATAATATTTGACCTTGATGCACCACCGAAAGGAAATGTATAGCGATGTGCAGGGAATTCCACAAATGTGATGAATCCAGCCAAAATATCACATGTGTCAGACATTTACATGTTACACGTGATCACGTGTTATACCTTATAACCAATTATTAAAAGCGGCATGGCAGGGATATATATATGCATATATTTTTGCATTATGTCATATGAGTTATAAAAACATAAAGTTAACACATATTCATAGCATTTTCGGGTAGACAGACGTTTCATTATTTAGACGTTTCACACCAAGACGGTTCACAATACGGGGTCATTCATTTGATTGAAGACTGATCTTTGCGTCTTTCTCTGAAATAATTATTTCCTTGTTAAAACATATTTGACCACATATTTCTGTCATTTAACTGTTCACTTTACTTCCGATTTTTGTTGTACCGAAACACATGTTTCTATTTGTGTTTTCTATTCGAATCTATAATCAGTTTAATGGGATCACCACCGGGTAAACGACTACTAGGTACTTTGGTCATGTTTTTTACCCCAAATATTTGAATGTTTCTATTGGGATTAAAATGAGCGTAGATAACTAAACTACTGGTTGTATAAATCCCTGACCTGTCTAATTCTAATAATGAGATTAGTGGATATATTAAGACTTTCACTACAAAATATTCCTAAACAAAAGAGCATATGTTTAAATTTATTCCTTTACAAATAAAAGATCAGAGTAGGGATGTGTCAATTGCCAGACATATTTGTAAAAGATACTTTTATGTTAAAAGTTTGATTAATGAATTATGTAAGATGAAAATACAAGTATTGCTTTTTTTATTTTGCTAATATTAAATGTAATCTTGTGGTGAAATTTTGTGGGAGGGTCCTTACGGATTTTGTAAAATGAATCATTTAATTGAATTTCCCCTTCAAAATGAAAATAAATTTTCTTAATAAAAACATCTAAAAATGGGAGTGAAAGTTTCACACGTCTATACAATTGACAAAATGGGAGTGAAACGTCTAGGTGTGAACCGTCTTGGGAGTGAAACGTCTCAATAGTGAAATGTCTTGGGAGTGAAACGTCTGACATTCTCATTCTCGAGAGTATCATATTAGTTGTAAAGATTTTGAAAGGCTATACAATATGGCCGTATATAAACGGTTGTTTGAAAATATAATACATAAACATACAATTTTTTATTAAATAAACAGCAGTCGTGTATATAAATATATAAACTTTATAATACTGCATGTTTGTAACGTAATTTTTTATTGGAAAATCGAGACATTTATTTAATTATAGAGATTTTTAGTTTAAACATATTTTATTTCTCAGATGTATATATACATGTTACAATTTACAATATACACAGAGCAATTAAAATATTCTTAAAAAACAGGATTAGAATGAAAGACAACATGTCTTATGAAATTTTTCTCCTATAGAGATTTTTACGGAATGCCGTTAGGGCCATTGCCTATGAATGTGTTGATCTGAAACGCGATAGTCGATAGTACGATGATGAAAACGCGAAATCACGAAACTACGATGGTGAAAATGCGAAAGCACGATGATGAAAACGCGAAAGTACGATGATGAAATCACGACAGTACGATACTACGATGATGAAAGCGCGATAAACTATCGTGTTTTCACCATCGTACTGTCGCGTTTTCACCATCGTAGTTTCGTGATTTCGCATTTTCATCATCGTACTGTCGTGTTTTCATCATCGTACTATCGCGTTTTCACTATCGTACTATCGCGTTTTCACCATCGTACTATCGCGTTTTCATTATACTGTCGTGTTTTCATCATCGTACTATCGCGTTTTCACCATCGTACTGTCGTGATTTCATCATCGTACTATCGCGTTTTCATCATCGTACTATCGCGTTTTCACCATCGTAGTTTCGTGATTTCGTGTTTTCACCATCGTACTATCGACTTTCGCGTTTCAGATTAACACATTCATAGGCGATGGCCCTTACGGCATTCCGGAATGCCGTTAGGGCCATCGCCTATGAATGGTTTGATCTGAAACGCGATACTCGACAGTACGATGATGAAAACGCGAAATCACGAAACTACGATGGTGAAAACGCGACAGTACGATGGTGAAAACACGATAGTTTATCGCGCTTTCATCATCGTAGTATCGTACTGTCGCGATTTCATCATCGTACTATCGCGTTTTCATCATCGTGCTTTCGCGTTTTCACCATCGTAGTTTCGTGATTTCGCGTTTTCACCATCGTACTATCGACTATCGCGTTTTAGATCAACACATTCATAGGCGATGGCCCTAACGGCATTCCGTAGATTTTTGGTTTATTTGTAACTTTATTTTCTGATTTTTACACACATGTACAAGTATTATAAAGAATTTCGATAGCTATTAATATTGCGAATAACCGTTTATACAGAACCATATAACCTGTTGAATTTATTTATAACGAACTCATAATACATCAAGCATTTTGTTAGAAAAAATGAGATAATTTCATAAATCGACGGCAGCCATGTATTTAAAAAGTACATTGTATGTATATAAACGTCACGATTATCAAATGAAAAGTGACGTAACAAACGTGTAGTATTAAAAAACACATACACGCAAAATTAAGGAGTTTCAATATAATTATATTCTTTTAATTAAGCATGATGCTAGAATATGATAACATGAACATTTAGAGCGGGTCACCGATCTCAATTCCTGTACGTAAATTTGATTTTTTTCCTTAATTGTGGTTATTTCAAGGTATATATGTTCTTATTTTCCTGCGCTTTTCAACTGGAATGGTGCATTCACACTCAAAAATACTTGATACTTATAACCCGCAAGAAATTGTTGAACGTGGATTATGCTATGATGATTATAGCTGAAGTAATTCTCAATGAAAGGAAAATGAAAGCGGACCTCGGACACAAATTTGTACGAGCGTATATATAATGATTAATATCGTTTTAAACATCAAATAAAAACGTTTCTCAGAGGTCAAAGTAAGAAAAGAGCTGTACTCAATTGAAAAGTGCCTTACGTCAAGTTAAATTCTTAAAATATACAAAAATGGTAAGGGTCCACAGCACTGCGTTGCAATCGAATCCACCGCCGTCTGCGACGAAAACATTTGTTTGGGGCCCAAACAGGACATTTTTTCACTTCACTGTTTGAGGCCTAAAAGAGGTGGAAGGGTCCAAAGTGCGTTGTTTCGCGTATCTATGAGATAAAGGGTTAAACCGCAATCCATTATATTAATCCACAGTTTCAATATATAAAAAACATACCGTCAGTGTATGAAACCAATGTAGCAATATATAAGCTGAGTTTCTCAATATATGATTCCAGTTCCCAAAGTAGCCATGTATGGAACCATGCAAATATCCTTATATGAAACCGAATTATTCAAAATATTATGAAACCAGTTTATCAATGTATGAAACCGAGGTAGCAATATATAAGTTGATATTTCAGTTCCAAACATTGGTAAAATGGTTCTATTAATTGTAAAAATCAATTAATATATTGATAAATCGGTTTCATATCAGGACACCTGGTTCCATACATTGCTACTTTGGTACTATTTATTGAAGAACTGGTATCATATAATATGATAATCAACTTATATATTGCTACTTTCGTTCCATACACCGATAAAAATGGTTTCATATATTGTAAAAATGAATTAATATATTGATAATTCAGTTTCATATAAGGACACCTGGTTCCATACATAGTTAGTTTGGTACCATACATCGAAGAATTAGTAAGATATAATGTGAAATCAGCTTATATATTGATACTTGAGTTTCATACATTTACGACATGATTTGATATATTGAAAAACGAATTAATAAATTGATAATTCGGATTCATATAAGGATATCTGGTTCCATACGTGACTTTGATACCACATATGGAAGAATTGGTATAATATATTGATAAAATAGAAACACATGTCTGTCTTATATTGTTCTTTTTCAATTTATTTCACCATTTGAATAATATATAAGTTCACTTCGACTATATATGAATTGAAAACACATTCTTATTAAACCGGAATCCATTATATATTAATCCACAGTTATAATATATGAAACCATACCGTCAGTGTATGAAACCAATGTAGCAATATATAATTTGATTTTCTAAATATATAAGTCCAGTTCTTCAATATATTATACCAAATTAGCCATGTATAGAACCAGATATCCTTATATGAAACCGAATTGTCAATATATTAATTTGTTTTCCAATATATGAAACCAATTTATGAATTCGGTATGTCAATTTGATAATTCGGTTTCATATAAGGATATCTGGTTCCATACATTGCTACTTTGGTAAAATATAATGAAGAATTGGTATCATATATTGAAAAAAGATCAACTTATATATTGCTTCCTTGGTTTCATACACTGACAGTATGGTTTCATATATTGTAATTGAGGATTGCTATAATGGCTTCTGGTTTAAAAAGAAGGTGTTTTTAATTCATATATTGTCGAAGTGAACTTATATATTATGGACATGGTTAAAAT